ACACACACACATATTATAGTATATATATATATATACTGTGATCTGTAAAATGTAACAAACCCTTTCCTCCCAAGTTGGTCATGGTGTTTATCACAACCACAGAAAGCAAACTAGAACTCTGTGTGTGTGTGTGTGTGTGTGTGTGTGTGTGTGTGTGTGTGTCAGTGTGTATGTGCATGTTCATGCCCATGTGCAAGTGTAGAGGTTAAAAGACAACTTTATGGACTCTGTTTTCTCCTTCTACCTTTATGTGGATTCTTGGGATTGAATTCCAGTCATCAAGGCTTGCATGGCAAGCACTTTTACCAACTGAGTCATTTCGTTGGCCATGTTGGTGGTTCTTGACTCACAGCCAGCAGGAAAAGCAAACTAGATTCTAGAGTGAGGGGCTTCCTTCCCTTCTCATGTCCCCTTAAATTTTCCCTGTCTTCTATACTTGTTCCATAGTCTTAGAATTTACAATGTTATTCTTGGGATGCAATGCCATTCTAATCCCTCAGTGTGGCCGATTTTCTTTTTTGGGAAGCTTATATAATCTTTATCCTCAGTATTTTGAACTTTCACATTGATGTACCTTTTGAGGGTTTGGCAGTATGTCTTAGGTAGTCAAGTTTGAATTCAGCTTTAACAAATCTGATAATAAGTAGGTTGTTTACCTGTCTGCTTTCTAGTTTTGAAGTTTTTATGCTTTTATTCTTCCACTGCTGCTTGTTATGGATTTGTGCCTTTTCAAAAATTGTTCTTTTACCCATGCAAAGTCAATCACACAAAAACCCAGCTTAGAACTCAGGAAATGGGCAGCAGGCCCCAACGTTAGCCAAAGAACTGTTGGCAGCTGGGTGAAGGAGACTTGATCATCTTTAAGGGAGAGACTCTAGATAGGCTAACAAAACTCCAGTGGATGAATTTGCATTGACAAACATCTGGAAACACAAATTTGACTCAGTAGGCCTTAACATATATGACAGAATGCATGAAATCTAGTGGTGGGGTAATAGGGGGTCCAGATGGGGGAGAGGATATAAAGATGATTAAGATGTTTTATATAAAGTGCACAAAAATTCAATTATAAATAAATATACAAAAAAACCTGTTCCTTTCATGTGCTTTTGTAGAGCACCACAGTCAAATATCAGTGTTTAATTCATTTTTACTGGAAACCTTATTCTATTGTATTCTGTTGGTTGAATTTCTGATAAGTATTATACTACTAGCTATTACAATGTCTCAGTAAACATCATTAACATTATACAAGGATTGCTTTTACACATATGCAGTTTTTATTATTAAAATTGTCACCCTTCAAAAAAGAAAAAGAAAAATAAGTTAGAGGCTGGGCATGACACACCTTTAATCCCAGCACCTGGGAGGCAAAGGTATGCAGGTTTCTAAACTTACAGCTAGCTTTTTTACATAGTGAGTTCCCAGCCAGGAGTACATAGCGAGACTCTGTCTCATAAAAGAAGAAAGAACTAAGTTAACTGTGGAATTCCTTATTCATATAATGTTCATGAGTGTCTGTTTCTCCAGTCTTTGAATCTGTCATTGTGATAGAAAAGGAAGACACTGCAATGCAACTTCACTAAGAGCTGCTTATTCTTCCTGCTCAGTGAACTTTTTGTCTCCTTTGCTTATTTTTCCATACTATTGTATATCCTTTTTGTAGTTCATTATGGTTTTACTAGTGTTATTTAAAACTACCCTGGGGCCTAATAGATGATTTATGCATATTATTTCCTGTGTCTTCCTGCCATTGCTTTTACTTCTTGCCCTTTTCCCTCTTGAGTCCATTTCCCTCCATTGTCTTTGGTTTCTAAAAGAGTTTTCAAAGATATTTCATGTGATTAATATATTAGTTTTCTTCTTTTGTGATTTATTTTGTATAATATTTGGAAAGGCTTTATACCCCTTGAGAATATTAAAACATCATAGTTTCTTTCAGAATATATATAATTTCTTTTTTACATTTATTTATTTGTCTCTGTGTGTGTGCGTGTATGTGTGCATGTGTGTGCATGGATGTCATGCATAGGTGTAGCGGTCAGAAGACAACTTGTGGGAGTTGGTTCTCTGCTACCGTGTGGGTCTTGGAGATTGAATTCAGATCATCAGCTTGACAAAAAGTGCTTTAGCCATCTAGCTATCTTGCCTATATTATTTTACTTTAAGATTAAAATTTTTTTTAACTTAAGAAAAATTTATTGAGGATTTTATACATGCATATAATGTGTTTTGATCAAATCCGTGCCCACTCCCTCCCCTCCAACTCCTCCCATGTCGCCCCATCACTTTTTTCTAACTTTGTGTACTCTTTTTTTTTGGGGGGGGGGCTTTTTGCTACTCTAACATTCCCCCCTCTGAAGAGGTAACCCTAAAATCTTTTAGGGATTAGATAAGAGCTCCCAAATACTTTTGACATATTTGGCCTTTGAACAGAGTATGTTGCTAAGAGGCCCAAGGACATTTTGACTTTTAGCCGAGAAACTGCCTAGCCAGTTCCTACCTCCTATTCTTATCACACCATCCTCTGGAGAGGTTACCTATATTGCCGATAGAGAATCAGGACGCAGACTGCTCTGGCTTCTTCTATGCTGAACAGGGACGCAGGGTGAGGCAATTGGGGTACCCCTTCAGTGGGTCTATCTAAAAGATTCCCAGATTGTATAACTCTTATCTGTAGGGAGAAAAGAAAGTCCTTGACTGGTGAATAGGAGATGTGAAGGAGAAGTAAAGGCAACAGTAGTTAGCATTACAAGTTCTAGACAGGAAACCAGAAAAATGTCAGAACAGGGCAAATTTCAGATGTTCCTATCAGAGTCCATTGAATTTGTTGACGTATTCATTTTTAGCATATTATTGTGAAACCATCTTTGAGGGGGGTCTTTTTGAGACAGCGTCTCTCTGTAGCCCCAGCTGTCCTGGAACTCTATGTAGACCAGGCTGGCCTTGAACTCACAGAGATCCGCCTGCCTCTGCCTTGTGTGCTGGGATTAAAGGCGAGCGCCACCACACTCGGTTGTGAAACCATCTTATAGCTACATTAATTTTTCCCCAGGTAGCTTTCCAAGCGTCCTGGTATCATTTATTAAATAAATTCTTTTTCCTCTGAATGTAAACTATTCCTTTTATTATATATGTTCTGTTAACAATCATAAAGTATTTTTATTTATTTGCATATTATTTAAAGGAAATGTAAAGTGGATTATAAAGAAGTAGATGATATTGAAACTACTTATCATTTTTACATCATAGGAAAACATACAAAGAGGACAATATAAGGATAATACCTCATCTGTGAAAACACAAAGTCAGAATAAACTGAAGCAGCTCTGTGCAGATAGTATTGGAGGCACCAAAGCAGAATGTAAGGATACAGACCAAGCTAGACAGTCCTGTGGAGTTGTGTCTAAAGCCTGTGCAAATGACAACCAAATGAAGACTCTACGAAAGAATACAAATCCAGTTAATTCTTGCTATAGGGAGAGTGGGCAAAATGGGACTTTAAATAAGACCAGTTCAAGCTGCACTCAAAATTTACATGGAATAACAACTTTTGACCAAAAAGATTCTGTTTCTCAATCAAGGTATGGTTTAATAATTATTTATTTATTCAGCAAGCATTATTGTGTGCCACACTGTTAAGTACTGTGAATATAGGATGGTAGGTAAACATGGTCCTGGGAGGAACCTAAAGTATTCTCTTTTGTTTCCTTTTTGTATAAATTTATTTATTCTCTCACGATTTGATACATGTAAATTACTTTGATCATGTTCCCCACATTCTCTCTTATCACCCTCCCTTCCTGCCGGGCCCTTTCTTCTTCCTAACAGGTTTTCTTCCTACTCTCATATCTTTGTGTGTGTACATTGCCCTACTACATTTAATTAGTGCTGCTTGCATGAGCATGGGGAAGAAACTTTTTTTGAGATAGGATATCATGTATCTATCCCAACCTTGCTGTGTAGCTGAGGATGGCCTTGAAGTTCTGATCCCCATGCCTCCATCTCCCAAGGGCTGGTATTACAGGCACAAGTAACTACACCCAGTTTCTGCAGTGTTGGGGATAGGTGAGCACTCTACCAACTGAGCTACATCTCTAGAAGTTGTAATGGAATTTTGATCAATGAGTTTTTAATATGAGGTCTAGATGCTAATTCATCAAAGGCTTTGCATGTCATCAAATTTTTATAAATTTTCAATCACAGGATATTGTTAGCCATTGAAGACAGTTTTGCTTTATTTATTTATTTGAAACACAAATCTCTGAGTTCAAGGCCAGCTGGGGCTACAGGGAGACCCTTTCTCAAAAAGACCAAATAAAAGAAAAAGAAACAACTATCTCATGAATCCCAGTGTGGCCTCCAACTCCCTGTATAGTCAAGGATGACCTTGAACTTACCCATATGTGTGCTGCACACTCTTAGTTTATGTGGCTCTGGTGATCAGACACAGTCCTTCAGGCATGCTAGGCAAGCATTCTACCAGTTGAACTACATCCTCAGCCTCTGAAGACTTTTAATTGAGTAAAATAATAAGATTTGAATTTTAGAAAGAATGCTCACAAAGGAAGTCCCTGTATTGGAAATCATAATGCAAGCATTGATAATTTATTAGTAATGTGTCAAAAACTAGTTTGTGAGTTTAATATGATAAAGGGAGTAGGATGTGGTGGGAATCCATTTGGGTTTTTCCTTTGTTTTCTGAATTTTGTTTCCAGTGTTGTCCTTTTTCCCTCACAGGCAGTTTGTGGGACTAGACGTAGAATTGTAGCTTTTCCTCTTAAATGCTTACTTGTGTTTAATGGCTGGTGTGCTCAAGGAAAATGAAGATGAGAGTCTATGCTCTGGTCAGACTGCAGGGCAAACTAAGTATCAGGAAGATGGATTACACAACCATCACACCTTTTCTCTTTGCAAGCCCATATTTTTAAGCTCAAGGACAATTTTATTAGAATTTGAAAGAACAAGACAGGCAAGCTGTACATCTCAGCAGGTGCCAGGAGGAGGGAGATGAAGAAGAGGAAGAAAGAAGCCAGGCCTTTTGAGTTAGGGTCGGAGGAAAGCCTGCTTAGCAGTGGAGTCAGCAAGCTGCTGCATGGTAGAAGGAGAGGGGCACTTCAGAGAGAGTGAGAAAGCCTGGGGTGTCAGGGAAAGCAGGCTTAGGCTTTTAGCCAGCATCCGAAAGAGAAGCAGAAAAGAAGCAGAAGGAAAAGTTATGCTTTTTCTCAGAACCCAGAAAAGCAGGTAAGCTTACCAGCTGTGTAGAAACTCTGTCTTCAAGATCATCTTTTGTTTTTCTTTTTTTGGGGGGGCGGGGGGTTCATGTATTCCAGGTTGGCATTGAAGCCAAGGGTGATTTGGAACTTTTGATCCTTCTGCCCCTACCTCCAAAGTGCCAGAATTACAGGTGTGTGTTTACCACATCCAGTTTAATGTGGTACTGGGGACTTGAACCCAGGGCTTCATGAATACTAGACAGGTACTTTACCAACTGAGCTATATCCATAGCCTATCTGTATTAGTTACTTTTGATTAAATACCATGACCAAGGCAACTTATAGGAGGAGGAGTTATTTGAGTTTAGGGCTCCAAAGGGAGAATTCATAACAGCAGGGGAGGCACAGCAGCAGGCAGTTGGAGCAGGATGCTGATAGCACATCTCCCTCTATGTGAAGAAAACAAAGAGAGTGAATTGGAAGTAGGCTGAGGGCTATAAGCCCTCAAAGCCTGCCCCTAGTGATGTACTTCCTCCAGGAAGGCTGCACTTGCGCATGATTCCCCCAAACAGTGCCACCAACTGGGGACCAAGGGTTCAAATACCTTAGTCTACTGGGGACATTTTTCATTCAAATCACCACACCATCTTTTTTGTCTTTTTAATATTGTTTTGTTTTTGTTTTTAACTTGTTTTGTTTTGTTTGAGATAGGGTCTCTCTGGAACCCCAGGTGGCCTGGAACTCACAGTGTAAACCAGGCTGGCCTCTGTCTTACAAATACACCTACCTCTGCCTCTCAAGTGCTAGGATTAAAGGTATGCACCACCATGCCCAGCCTTTTTTGATTTTTATTTTCCTTTCTTTTTAAATGTATTTTATATATTTATTTTTATTTTATGTGTATTGAGTGTTCTTCATGTATATAAGTAACACCATGTGTGTGCAGTGCCTGCAGAGGCCAGAAGAGGGCATTGAATTCCCTGGAACTGGGGTTATGGGCAGTTGTTAGCCACCATGTGGGTGCTGGGAACTGAACGTCAGGTCCTCTATAAGAGCAACCGGTGTTCTTAACCACTGAGCCATCTCTCCAGCACCTCCCTCTTTTTTTAAGTCATCCTGTCATCCATCCCTCTCCCCACTGTCATCTCTGGGAATCAAACTCAACAAGTGGTCTTACTCATGCCAGGCAGATTTTTACCTGCTGAACAACATCCCCAGTCTTCCATTACTCTTTTTTTTTTTTTGCTTTATTTTTTTAAAATATTTATTATTTTCATTTTATGTATATGTGTGTATTGCCTGCGTGTAGGTAAATGCACCCATGTTGTGCAATGCCCTCAGAGGACAGAAGAGGCTGTCGGATCCCCTAGAACTGGAGCCACAGACAGTTGCTAGCTGCCTTTTGGATTCTGGGATACAAACCTGGGTCTTCTGCAAGAACAACCAGTGTTCTTAACCACTTAGCTATCTCTCCAGCCCTTTTTGCTTTATTTTTTTATGTGTATGTGTGTATTGCGTGCATGTATGCAAGTGTATCCATGTCGTGCAGTGCCCATGGAGGACAGAAGAGGGCGTCAGATCCCTGGAGCTGGAGTTATAGTTGTTAGCTGTCATGTGGATGCTGGGATTTGAATCTGGGTCTTCTGCAAGAACAGTCAGTGCTCTTAACTACTGAGCCATCTCTCCAGCCCCCTCTGTTACTCTTATAATCTTTTTCTTCTTTCTTCTTGAATCAATGCTTTTGCCCTCTAGAATCTTGTTTAGTTGTAGAAACAAGGCATAACTATTGTAGATCCTGCTTTGGCAAAATCTGGTTGATGTAGTTGTCAGCTCTCAGTCACTGTAACAAAATACCTACAACAATTAACTTAGAAAAATGGTTAGTTTTGGCTCATGGTTCTGGAGGTTATAGTCTGAAATGGTGGGAGGCAGGGTGCCCATTCCTTTTAGGTCTCTGGCAAGGGCAGGACAGCATGGCAGGAGCATCTACTGGAGCAAACCTTATGAGCCAAGAAACAAACAGGACAGACTAGAGCCCCACAGTCCCATTCAAGGGCATATACACAGTGATCTAAAGACCTTGTACAAGGCCCCACGTTCCAAAAATTCACAGAATCTCTCAATGGTGCCTATCTGAGGGCCAAGCCTTTAACATGGGAACTTTGGAGGGAATCATCAACATTCAGATTACAGCAGCAGATTTTGGATCCAGCTCCTTCTGCCTGCCAAACACTCAGAATCACATTAATGCCTAAAATGTTTTTTCCACACTGACTAGTGTCTTCAGTTTTAGTAATGTCTTAGTTTGTTTCTTCATTGCTGTGACAAAATGCTCTGACCACTACCAACTTGGGGAGGAAAGGGTTTATTCAGCTTACATCTCCCAGGTCGCAGTTCATCAGGAAGCCCAAGGTAGGAACCTGGAAGCAGGAGCTGGAGCACAGGCCATGGAGGAATGCTGCTTACTGGCTTGTTCCCTGGCACCTGCTCAGCCTGCTTTCTTATGCAACATAGGCCCACCTGCCCAGGGGTGGCACCACCCACAGTGGGCTGGGTCCTTCCATATCACTAATCAAGAAGATGCCCCTCAGACATAGCCACAGGCCAGTCCAATGGAGGCAATTCCCCAATTGAGGCTCCCTCAACCCAGGTGTGTCAAGTTGACACTAAAGCTATCCAGCACAAGTAATGTATCTGTTTTCTTTTAGTGACCATGTTTTTAAACATCCAACTTACACTGTCAAAAACAGAAAGCAGCAGGTACCACAAACAGGTATGATTTAAAATGTTTCTTCTTTGGTTTTCAAGAAGACAAATATTTGGATGGTTACAACTAAAATGTAAATTAGCATGTTTGCTCTTTGAAGTATGAACCACACCTTGGACTCCGGTGCAAATACACCAGTCTCCTTTTACTCATATCCAGACCCCATTTACCCATTAGATTTGTATGTAGGAGTGAGATGCAATTTATGAAAATCTCAAGACTTAATAAATCTTACAAATATTGAAACCTTTTCATTAATCAGAAAATCTTATGCTTTGCCATTTTTTTCCAGATCCATTTACATTGTGTTTAGACATAATAGATGAAGAGGTTGTTGGTTTTCAAGCAACTGAAAACGACTCTAGAATGATGAAGTATAGGTGCTCAGGTAAATAGTTTTTAAAATTGCAATAATTTCATAATTAAAGATGTATCTATTAGTTAATGAGAATTTATAATAGTTCTACCTCCATGATTTAACCTCATCTCCTTTGAATAAAAGACAGTCTGAGTTATGAATTAAAGCACTCAAATTGATGGCCTCTGTGTGCATTAGACTGGACTCCCAGTACTTGATTACAAATGTAAATGCACTTAATACCCCATTTATTGTCTTTGTAACACCACCACCTATAAGTTTAGCCTTTATGAGCAAGATAAATATGTTTTCAGAGAACAGAGAAATGGGTATGTATTCTGAATTTTGCTCTAAACATTACAGGCATTAAGTATTACATACCTATTTTTGTATTTATTTGCTTATTGTTGGTTTTGGTCTTTTTGAGACAGGGTCTCCCTGTAGCCCCAACTGGCCTGGAACTCACTATGTAAACCAGGCTGGCCTGGAACTCAGAGATTTGCCTGCCTCTGCTTCCCGAATGCTGGGATTAAAGACATGCACCACCATGCCTGGCATCTATTTTTATATTTATAATAAACTTATTAATGTTCCTAGTGTCCTATGCCCGATTATTTTTGTTTTGGTAAGGTTCCGTTTTACTGATTCCATCCTTCCTCTTCCTTCATACCTACTATTTCTTGTGTTTGTTCTTACTACTGACTCTACTCTGTGGAGTTATTCAATATTCAGCTCAGAAAAATCGCCGTTCTGTTTTGGATGAAGACATTTATTTATCTTTGTTACTCTAAAGCTGATGTATAATCATAATCTGAATCCCATCTCTTCTTTTCTCCTTTTATAACTGCAAAGTCTTTCTCTTCAGTCCCTCCTGTGAATCAGCACACCTGTAATTCCAGCTCTTTGGGAGATTAAGGCAGGAAGGATCATTTGAGCCTCCTAATTTGAGACCAGTCTAGGCAGTGTACTGACACCTATCTCTTAAAAAAAAAAAAAAGACATGGCATTAATATGAGGATCATGATATAATCTAATGCTCTTTTTGTTTTTGATATAGGGTCTCAAGGCTGGCCTAGAACCCACTATGCAGCCTAGGCTAGTCTTCAACTCATGCCAGTCCTCTTGCCTCAGTCTTGCAGTATCTGGGATTCAGCTGTGAGCCACCACTCCCAGCTTAACCTAATGTTTCAGTGTTGAAACCATGGGCTACTGTCCTAGTTACTTTCGTGATAAAAATACCAACCAAAACCAACTTGAGAAGGAAGGGAAGGGTTTATTTGGCCAATGCTCAGTCTGCTTTATTTATTTATTTATTTTTGGTCTTTTTGAGACAGGGTCTCCCTGTAGCCCCCAGCTGTCCTGGAACTCACTATGTAGACCAGACTGGCCTTGAACTCACAGAGATCTGCCTGCCTCTGCCTCCCAAGTGCTGGGATTAAAGGTATGCACCACCACGCCCCATCCTTTTTTTTTTTTTTTTGGCGGTCTGCTTTCTTATACAACACAGGACCACCTGCCCAAGGGTGGCACTGCTTACAGTGGCCTGGGCCCTCCCACATCACTCAACAATCAAGAAAATACCTCATAGACATGGCCATAGGCCAGTCTAATGGAGGAAATTCCTCAATTGAGGTTCCCTCCACCCAGATGTGTCATGTTGACAACTGAAGCTGTCCAGTAAAACTACCTTGATTTAGATAATTCATATGGCATCAAACAGATCCTGATTATTATTTCCCTTACAAATTTGAAAATATTGTATAGTACTCTTATGAGTTCATTGGAACACCTAGGTGGACAATTTGGGATATTACATCCTTTTGTTCTACCTGAACTATACTTATTTTTCCTCATCTTAAAAAATATTCAACTGCTGGACTTGGTGGCTCATGTCTTTAATCCCAGGAACTCAGGAGGCAAAGGCAGGTGGATCTCTATGAGAGCAAGAGTTCCAGGTCACCTGAGGCTACAGGGAGACACTGTCTCAAAAAAGAACCACCCCCCAACCAAAAAAAAGAAGCACTGGCTGCTCTTGCTGAAGACCCAGATTTGGTTCCCAGCACCCACATGGCAGCTAACAACCATCCATACCTCCAATTCCAGGGGATCCAATGCCCTCTTCTGGCATTGCATGACATGGTTGCACTTACATACATGCAGGCAAAACACTCATACACATTAAAAAGAAATGTTAAAAATGAATATAAAAGAGTGATTGAGCATAAAGACTGCTTCTTTTAGGTGGCTTTCCTTCATAGCTCAAACTAAACTAATATAAATGCTCCTTGTTTCTTTTCTGGTTATTTGTTTGAGACAGGGTCTCACATAGCCTTGTCTGGCCTCCAATTTGCTATATACCCAAGGATAGCCATAAATTTCTAGTCTCCCTGCCTCCAACTCCCCAATGTTGGGACCAGAGGTGTTTGTCCAGTTTTATGTGGTGCTAGGGATTGAACCAGGGCTTTATGCACACTAGGCAAGTACTCTACCAAGTACTTTTCCTTTTCCTTCCCTTCTTCACCCTCTTCTTCCCTTCCCTTTCCTTTCTTTTCTTTAGTACTAAGAATTGAACCCAAGGCTCTGCACATGCTAGACAAGCACTATCACTGACCTACACCCTTAAAAAATTTTTTTGAGGCCTAGTCTCACTAAACTACCCAAACTAGGCTTAAATTTGCAAACCTCCTGCCCTGGCCTCCTAAGTAGCTGGGCTTGTAGGCATGTGCCAGCACAGTGATTTGGATGCTCCTTTTCTGTATTGCCATAACTTTTCACACCTCTATCCCAATACTATCTCATTGTATTTGTTGCCTCCTCTTCCTCCTCTTCCTTCTCTTCCTCCCCTCCCTCCTCCTCCTCCTTCTTCCTCTCTCTCTCTCTCTCTCTCTCTCTCTCTCTCTCTCTCTTCACTTGGAATTTCTTGAAATTTTATAGTTAGGTTCCTACGTTCACTTCAATTACCATCATAAAATTTATCTGCTTTCGTAGAGTTATTAGCACATAATTTTCGAACATCTATGCATCAACTTACTTTGTTTCCTTTTAGGTTGCATAACAATAAGAAAACCCCTCAACAGCCGAAATTTTAGCAAGCTTTTGCACTCTTGCCTGTACCAATGTGATCATCACAAAGTCATTGTGGAAGCTGAAGACAGATACAAAAGTGAACTAAGGAAATCACTTATCTGTAACAAAAGTAATTAATTCAGTAGCTTCAAAACTGTAATTATGACTATACTTTCTGACCTAGTATCTAAGATATTAAGTATACTAAAAACTAGAGTGTAAAATAATGTTGAAAAGAAAACCTGTTTCTAAGCAACTAATAATTTAAGATGTACTCAGAGTAGATTTAGTCTCTGGTGACTCAAAAATTCTTCCTAAACAGGGCATGGTGGCACACACCTGTAATCTCAGCCCTCAGGAGGAGGAGGCAAGAGGATTGGGAGTTCAAGGCCCATCCTCAGCTATACAGAGAGTTTGAGGCCAGCCTGAGCTACATGAGACCTTGTCTCTGAAAACAAAACAAAAACTCTTCCTAGTCTACCTAAGGATCCCTACTAGAAAGTAGTAGGAAATATACTAATAGAATTGATATGCAGCTATTTAGACTAATATTATAAATGTTTTCCATATTTTTCAGAAATTCTGCTGACCCCACATAGAAGACAACGGCTTAATAGTGAATCTACTGCCCCGGAAGGAATAAGTGAATATATATGATTTTTAAATAGGCTTAAAATTTGCATATTCCTAAGCAGGAGAGCGCAACTGACTGACTGTTGTCATTAATTACTTAGATACACCTTGGCTCAGATGAGAAGAGAGACATTCCTCTTCCTTTCTTCATGGTGCTTGATTACTTACTGCCTGCCAGGAAACTAGCCAGTATTAAGGATATGCTATGTGTTAAGTGTTTTGTAGATATTATTTCCTTTCATTATTTTAATATTCATTTGGCAAAATAACAGAACTTACGTTCAAATGCAATCATCTAGAGACTCTGGTTCACATTTCTATTCTAAGAACAAAGTCATTCTATGTACAAGTGCTTCAGAGAGACTTTGCAGAAAGCTTTGTTCATAACTATAGTTCTTCAGTCAAAACTGAAGAGACAAATAGTATCAATATTAACTTCCTGTTTAAAAATAAAAATGCTTCTTAAACAATAAATTAACTCATAGAAATTTTAATTTATGGACTGGGAGATGCTTAGCAGGTATAAAATACGAGGACCTAAGTTTGGATCCCCAGCACCTACGTAAAAGTTGGACATGGTGGCACATGTATAATCCTAGTACTGGGAGGGCAGAGACAGGCAGATCCCTGGAGCTGGCTGGCTAGCCAGTCTATTCAATTAATGAAATCCAGGTTCAGTGAGAGACCCTGTCTCAAAATGATAAAATGAGCCGGGCATGGTGGCATATACCTTTAGTTCCAGCACTCAGAAGGCAGAAGCAAGCAGATCTCTGTGAGATTGAGGCTATCCTGGTCTACATAGCAAGTTCCAGGACAGCTGGGGTTATAGGGAGACCCTGTCTCAAAAAGACAAAAATAAAAAGATAAAGCAATAGAGGAATTGACTTTTGGTCTCTACACATAAACAAGTGTAACACACATACACACAAATTACTTAATTAAACTATATATAATTTTAATTTAACCTCAAGGTAAACATCTCAAACTTACTACCAGTCCAAATTTTATCATTTTCTTCTAAATATAGAAAACTAATGCCTGCAGGGTAAGAATAAGGATCTAAGTACATAACTCATCAAAGTAATCTCTAGATGTACATCAATGGAGCTACTCTCTTGTTTGTTTCAGTCATTTGGACTTGGTACATCTAGGAAGCATTTTGCCTCACGTAACATTTATTTAGCTATTTTCACAGCCAAAACCTTGAAAGAGACTTAAAATTCACTTTATATATCTTGAATGTCTTTCTAGGTTAAAAGTTTTTTATGTAGAACTAAGTATGGTGGTGTATTCCTATAATCCTGCCCTCAGGAGCAGAGGCATGAGGATTGCTGTACTTTAAAGGTCAGCCTGGTCTATATAGCAAGTTCCAGGCCAGCCAGGGGCTAAATAGTTAGGACCCTATATCAAAAAAACAAAACATAAGGACTGGAGAGGTAACTCAGTGATTAAGAGCCCTTGCCGCTCTTGCAGAGGAGGCAAGTTTGGTTCCCAGCACCCATATCAGGCAGCTTACAGCCTTGTAACTCCATTTCATCTTCTGTCCTCTGCAGACACTGCACTGTACACAGACACATACATAATAATTAAAAATAAAATTTTTAAAATACACAAATGTGTGCCAGGCATACGCCTTTAATCCCAGCACTCAGGAGGCAGAGGCAGGTGGATCTCTGCAAGTTTAAGGCCAGCCTGGTCTATGTAATGAGTTCCAGGCTAGCTGGGGCTACAGGGAGACCCTGTCTCAAAAAAAAAAAAAAAAAAAAAAAAAAAAAACAACCCAAATGTTGGATGTGGTGGCATATGCCTTTAATCTCAGCCCTTGGGAGGCAGAGGCAGATGAATTTCTGTGAGTTTGAGGCCAGCCCAGTCCACATTCGAGGATCAGTCAATCCTATCCAGTGAGATTCTGTCTCAAACAAATTAACAGCACTGGGGCCAGAGGTAAGTAACACATGTCTGTAATCCCAGCACTGAAGAAGCTAAGGCAGAAAGCTCAAAAGTTTGAAGCAAGCATGAGCTATATAGCAAGATCTTGTTTCTAAAAACAAAATAATAAGTGGGTTTTTTAATTGCACTAAAGATGCCACAAAGTGAAGCCTTGACTTACAAAGTGGCCTCCTTCAAAGCTACCCAGGCCTCTGCTGTAGAATTTGGGCACAGATGCTAAGATGTAAGTCTTAGAATGATAGCCTCAGTAGAAAAGGGGAGTTTTATGTGAACAACTTCAAGGACTCAGCACCCTAAAAGTTACAACCTACTGTCTTAATTATAAGTTCAAGTTATTTATCAAATGAGATTTCAAATTATTTCTTGGGTAACCATGTCTTCCACCATCTCTAAAAGTAAGGAATGACTTCATTTATAAGTTTTGAGGTAGTTTAATCAATAACTTTTTCTCTCAATGACTGGTGATGGCCTGCTATGTGTGAGACACTATTCTAAGTGCTGGGAGTACGTCATGAATAAGCTACACACAAGCCTCTGCCTTCGTGGAGTGCACATTCTAAATACTGCTAAGAAATATGCAAACAGGCTGGAGAGATGGCTCAGCGGTTAAGAGTACTGACTGCTCTTGCAGAGGACCCGGGTTCAATTCCCAGCACCCACATGGTGGCTACAAACCGTCCTTAACTCCAGTTCCAGGGGAATCCGAAGCCCTCTTCTGACTGCCAAGGCATTGCAGGACACGGATGCACTCACATACATGCAGACAATACACTCATACACAAAATAAAAATAATAAAATATTTTTTAAAATTAAAAAAAACACAAGCATTGCTTTCTCCTTCTAAGATTTTCTCATTTTAAAAGCTCTAAACTGTGGCACTTACTTTAGAAAAGTGGACAAATGGCCAGCAAGCCTTGCCCATAGGGGCAAGACTTTATAAATGTGATTAAATGCAACTACATCCATTCCTCCTAAAGTCAATAGCAGCCTGAAGCAGAACTACAAAACACTTACCTCCAGCATCTACCTTTAATGACCAAATGAATTAACAATGGACTAAAAGTTTAAAGAAAACTATTTCCTGGGGCTGGCAAGATGGCTCAATACTTACCAAGAAGCCTGAGGACCTGAGTTTGATTTCCCAGAACTCACATAAAAGTAGAAGGAAAGAACTGACTCCACAAAGTTGTCCTCTGACTGCACTGTGCACCCTGGCACACGTATGTCCACATTACACACACACACACACACACACACACAAACTAGTTCCTAGTAATCACCAGAAAACAATTGAAAAAAATGTTTACCAACTGTGTATTCTTTCTGTTATAGAAACTATTCCTCAAAAACCAGATAGTCAGAAATTTCCAAGTTTGGATGCACATGCCTTTAATCCCAGCACTCAGGAACCTGAGGCAGGTAGACCCCAAATTGAAGGCCAGTCTGGGCTACATAGTGAGTTTGAGGCAAGCCCAAACTACATAGCAAAAACCTGTCTCAAAAAAAGGAAACCCACAAACTTCCTTCACCTATTTTGTTATTAAATTTTGATAAGCTGAGGACCCAAATAGGTAGCGAATGTGATTTTTTTAAGTGAATGTCAAAAGACCCTTGTTCTTGAAAATAATTAAAACGGGCTGGAGAGATGGCTCAGTGGTTAAGAGCACTGACTGCTCTTGCAGAGGACTCGGTTTCAATTCCCAGCACCCACATGGCACTACAAACCCTCCTTAACTCCAGTTCCAGGGGAATCCAAAGCCTCCGCTGCATTGCATGACACGGGTGCACTCATAAACATGAAATGAAAATAATATATTTTAAAAAATAACTAAACCTGGTATATAAAATAACAAGTGGTGGTGTTCTTTTCTGTCCTATGAAGTTATGGAGCCCTTTGAGAAGACTATAAGATAGGTAAGCTGTTTATGAACCATCCTCATAGGAATATTGCATTAAAATCAAATGCTTATAAACTTGTTTCTTGATTGAAAGATACTCTAGGTCTTACTACAATCAATGAAATTAAAATGACCAAGGAAGTCACAGTGGTAGCAGTTAACAGTCTTTTTGTAAAATTGAAGTGAATTTCATTTGATTGAGTATCCCAGACATAAAATTCTCATTCTGTAGTTTTTAATCTATAGAATCTATAGAATAAGTTATACATTTATTTGTGTCTCAAGATTTATTTCTTTGGCAAGTATTAATATATTCTACAATTTTCTTTCATTGCAGAAAAAAGAATTCGTAAAAACTTTACCAAAGAAGAAATAAATTATCTTTTCCATGGAGTTAAGAAAATGGGAAACCACTGGAATTCAATTTTGTGGTCTTTCCCCTTTCAGCAAGGCCGGAAGGCTGTAGACCTTGCCCACAAATACCACAAGCTGATCAAAGGCCCCAATTGTGCAGCTACCTGATTGGAAGAGACTGTCAGTTTTTGGTTTGGACTCTTAAAATACAATTCCATAAAAGATATCAAATATTAAATATTCTTATAAACTCTCATGAGATAGGGAATGTTGAAACAGGGATGTTTTAATTAAATTTTTTGTGACACTGAAACTCTTTAAACTATTACTATAATTTGTAAAGCAAATATAATTTCAATGTAAAGATTAGTAAGATAAAATTCCTTATTAGTGAGATGCCTTTATTTTCTATAAGCTGAAAGAATGTATCTCAGAAGAGAAAATAGCAGCCATTAAACATTATTTAACATTATATTGTCATGAATACCGTGTGTGACATTTGGATTTCAGTATTTTTGTCTAGTGCCAAAGTCCATCCCTAGAACTCAGAAATTTCTCAAGCTGTTCATCGGAGGTTCTCACCCACTAAATAAATGTTTGACATTTTGTGAATTAAAATGTTTCCTCTTCTGAAGGCTAATCGTGAAGTTGTATTAGCAACCCTGTTCTGTCGTCAGGTTCTTTTTTTGACGTATGTTTATTTTTTATATTTTTATTTTGTGTGCATGTGTGTGTGTGTGAAGGTCGGGATAATTTGCAGAAGTTGGTTCTTTCCTTCCACCATATGGTTCCTGGGGATGGAACTCATGTTGTCAGACTTGGTGGCAAGTGCCTTTACCCACTGAGCCATCCTGCTATAGTTTTTTTTAAGTGTGTCTCATTTTCCCATCCTGTCCCTCCACATCTTTTTTTGTTCATGCTAATGAGCCTTGGCTATTTCATACTATAGCAAAACAGTGTCATATCTGCTTATGAGCTTAGTCATTGACCACTGGACATATTGTCTGTCTTAAAATGCATTGCCTGGGAAGGAATTCAACTCCATTGTTAGGCCCAGTGAGGGCTTGTGGACTTAATTTTTATGTCTTTTGGTATTCTATGTGACCAACTTTATAATCATAGTTAATGTAGTTATAACTTTTACATTATAATTTTAATTATTTTCAAATAAGTCCTATCCTATTGGTATGGCTGTTTTTTTGTTTAAGACAGAGTCTCATGTAGCCCAGGATGGCCTTCAACTCACTATGTAGCTTAGGATGACTTTATTTGTTTTGTTTGGCAGGCCTAGGGATTGAACCTAGGGCCTTATGCATGCTAGGCAAGTGATCTAACACTGAGCTACTGCTTCAGCTCTGTTTTTGTATTTGAAACAGCATCTTACTATGAAGCTCAGGCTGGTTTTGAACTCATTGAACCCACACTGAGCTGGCCTAGTCTTTAAGAAGCCTCAGTGCTATCATCCAGCCTACCTGTTTATCCTATCTGTGTTGTACATTGTCAAATGCCCTGTTTAAAATGAGCATTTTTTATGTTTGTGGCATCTCTTCTCTGATACTCCTGCAAGAAAAGCTACTGTATGCATCTGGTGTTATTTTTTTCATTTGCAACTGGTCACACTAGAGTATTTCACCTAGTGGGAATTACGCTCACTGATCCATAATTTTTAACTCTTCTGTGAAAATTCATATTGTTTGCCCTTTGATGACTTCCAACATTGCTGCTCTTCCCTCCCATTTTCCTGCTTAAAACTTAGATTCAAGTTGGCAGATTATATTGTCTGTTGTTGGATCCTGTAATTTATGCTGCTAAATTTTTGGCAGAGTCAGAATCACTCACTATCCATCTGAAACCCACTCAGGTGATTGCTTTTCTGTCATTTTCTTGTGATATTTAGCAATGCCTTCTAAAGTTAGCCTGTCTATTAGAAACAGGCAAGAACCCTCAGGTAGAGGCCATACCTAGAGTTACCCTTGCTAGGCACAAAGCTTATTTCTTCCCTCTTCCCCCCCACCACACCCTCCACTGCAGAAAGGAAATTATAGCCCTCTTGTTCTGCTGTCTAATGTTGGCTCCCTGAAAAATACCATTTCTAAAATCTGGTTAGTAAAGCACAGCCAAGAGTATTGTTCACTATGGTAAAATCAGCGTCACAGTTAACAGTCTACAAAGGAGGAGGTGAAAAGCAACATTTATGAGAACCCGTGGATGGGTTTGATGAGGATTATGCCAAATTCATTACATAACATGATTGGGAATGGCAGGGTGCTACCTTCTAGCTTTGGGTCCTTGGGCTGATTTCTTTCACTTTTTAAAACTTTTTGGAAGCAGGATCTTATGTAGCCCAGGCTCTGCTCAGAGTTGCTAAGTAGTGGAGGATGGCCTTGAACTTGTGGTCCTCCACCTTTGGCGTGCTGGGATTACAGGCACTACCATGTCCAATCAGTTTATGCAGTGCTGGAGATGGAACCCAGGGCTTCCTGCGCACTAGGCTACCACCAATTGAGTCACATCTCAATCCAGATTTCTTAAACCTTCTGAGCTATAGTTTGCTAACCTGTTAAGAGTTAGGCAAAATTCAGTGAGAGAGTGTGTGACCCTCGCACGCAGAGAGTTAGATAAGTGGCCCGGTCGGGTGTGAGCCTCATTCTAAAGCGTGGGGTTCTGCATCTATCCTAGGGACCCAGCCTGGGGAACCCTTAGCCCAGCGGCGGCGCTGCTCGTCCCGGCCTGCAGGGGGCACCAGCACACCCCGTCCAGGCGGCGCCGGCGGCCCCACCCCCGCGTGCAGGGCTGCCCGCGTAGCTGCCTGACCCGGCACGCTCCTGCTCTGCTGCCGCCTGGGTCTCGAGCCTCAGGAGCCCGCGGACATCGCCGGGCGCGTTGGGCAGCGCGGCCTCGGCGGGCGGGCAGCCGGCGCCCGGCTGGGGTCCTTGCGGGTCCTCGGCGGGCCCGGGGGAGGGCCCTCTTTGTGGCTGCAGTTGGCAAGATGGCGCCAGTGGGGGTGGAGAAGAAACTGCTTCTGGGCCCCAACGGTCCCGCGGTGGCGGCTGCCGGCGACCTGACCAGTGAGGAGGAGGAGGGCCAGAGCCTATGGTGAGGCCGCGGACCGAGCTGCGGGCGCCGGCTGGGCGGGGAGCGGGCCGGGCGGTGGGCAGACTTGGATGGGCAGTCGCGGATGGCTAGTCGTGGGCCGGGCGGTCACGGCGGCCCCCGGCTCACCGCTCTTGCTGTTGTCGCCGCAGGTCTTCGATCCTGAGCGAAGTGTCAACCCGTGCCAGGTCCAAGCTCCCGTCTGGCAAGAACATTCTGGTGTTTGGTGAGCAGCTGGTCACTACCTTGGGGTTCTGGGGTGGGCCCTGCGGCGCCCCTCCCACGGCCCCAGCCTTGGCCCTGGCTGCCCCCATGCCACTTGCCTGCCCGGTTCAGGCAAGGCCCTGGCAGCGCATTGGGACAGTCTGGAGTCCAGTGGTGCGGCGTGGGCTTGTGGCACATTCCTTCAGTCATTTGGCCTAGCCATCAGCCTTGACTTGTTCGGCGCTTAGCCTTGCGCTCTCTCAGTGGAGGGTGTGGAGAAACGGAGAAAATGGATAAGCATGCTGGATGGAGAAGAGAGGAAAACCAGGTCACCTGGGCCATGAAAACCTATCTCGGTCCTCAGGAGCAATGATCAGCAGAGGCATAAGGGACCCTGCGAAAGACAGCAGGCCTGGAAGTCAGCCCCAGGAACTTCCTGCCTCACTGCGGGGTTACCTGAGTCATTTCATGTAGCTTCTCTGGCCTCAGTTTCCTCATAAATGAGAGGGCTTAAGTGCATTCACACCACACCACGAAGCTATTTGGCGTGGGAGCTCGGGACTGAGCAGTGGGACAGCACCATTTTATTGGGTGAGAATCTCAGCCTAGTTGAGACAGATGTGTCCGGGTTGCACTACATCTTGCCTGGCATGAGCAGACTGTTGTGGGCGCATCTTCACTGCTTGATGCTGTGAAGAGAGAACTTTTGGACTCAGTTACTTTGAAGGAAATTTGTCCATATTACAGGGGCATATAAATAGCAAGAGGGTTTTGAGCACTGTCAGGTGGGACTTGCGGTAGATGCTAAGTAAGTTGGAGTCAGATTGTGAAAGGCTGAAGAATTAACCCTCTTTCCTGAAGGCTCCAGATTTTCACAGATTTTCTCATCTTCCCCATCCCCCAAGCCTTATGGGAATAACTGGCTTGGTGGTCCCTCTCTGTTTCTCTTCAGGTGATGGCCACTGTGGTAGGTTATAGCTAGATCTGTGCTTTAGATAAATAGCTCAGGCTGCAGAGTGTCAGGTGGCTCAGAATGAGCAGGCACTGAAGTCAGGCTGACACGCTTTCAACCATGGTCCAGATGGATTGTGGAGAGCATGACAAAAGGAAGGCATTGTGGATGGAGAGAGGATCTTTGATTTGTGGGCTGCTTTGCACTTGTGTTCTGTTCCGTATTATTAAAGGCAGGGATGCCCAGTGATGTTTGGTAGTGGCTGTTCTACTTAATGTTTAGATGGTGTTTTGGTGGGGGAGGGTGGTGTTAGTTGGTTCAAGAGAGATGAGGAAATACTTGGTAATTACTGACACTATACTTAGGAGTTTTGCTTAAGTCTGTAATTATTTTTTTTGCCAGTTTCCCAGCCTTTAGAATGCTTGTGAAGGAAATACCCGAAAAGCAAATGTGTTTAAATAATATATAATATTCATGATTGTGAGGCAGAATCGGACTTTTAAAATTCAGTGTTCGTAGACTTCGTGTTTTAAAGATTGTTGCTTTTACTGTGGTAAAAGTTTACTTTGTGAGAAACTGGCCTCACCTCTTGCTTTCACTTCTCCAGGTGCATATCTTAGAAATGGAAGGTGGGACTAGTGGATTTGCAGTGTTCTTTCCATTGTGAAGTAAAAATAGCTACTGTAGGATATCATTTTGGATCTTGGCATTTGCTGCCTTTGCCTCCTACCCAATCACTCTTAGAGCAAGGACTGCTTCGTGAAAGCAGCTGACATCTCAGCAGCGGGTTTTGCTTGAGCATCGTAGTTGTTTGGGCCTATGTTACAACTTGCCTTTTTTCCCCCAGAATAATATACAGTACACTTGTCTTCTTGCAAATGTCATTTGTAGGTGAAGATGGTTCTGGTAAAACAACTCTCATGACTAAACTACAAGGAGCAGAGCACGGCAAAAAGGGAAGAGGTTTAGAATATCTCTACCTCAGCGTCCATGACGAGGACCGAGATGGTGAGTGAAGTCTTAACTCCGTCATAAGGTTTCGTGCAGGTCTGTGACTCCTGCAGACATTCTCCACTTTCTTTTGAAACCAAAGAGCATAGATGAAGTATGTGCCCTTTATGAAACTTTACTCACTTTCTTTTATATGTGTATTATATATAGTTTTATAGAACATACATATGATTTTATATCTATTTTTATGTATTATGTATTTGTTATATATATTTGTGTGTGTGTGTGTGTATAGTGGACACACACATGTGTACAGGTACCCATGCCAAGGCATATGCTTAGAGGCCAGAGGAGGATATTTCTTTATCGCTCTATCACTCTGTCTTACTCCTTTGAGACATGATCTAAATGAACTTGGAGCTAGGCTAGCAGCCATCAAACCTCAGCAATCCTCTTGTCTCCACACCCACAGGACTGGAGTTACAGGCACATGCAGCCATACCTGGCTTTTTACATGGGTGCTGGAGAGTTTTTTTTTTTTTTCTTTTCTTTTTTAAAGACAAGGTTTCCATATAGCCTCAACTGATATGGAACTTACTATGTAGACTAGGCTGGCCTTGATCTTACAGGGATCCACCTGCCTCTGCCTCCCAAATGCTGGGATTAAAGGCATGCGACACCAGGTGCTGGAGATTTTAACTCCAGCCCTTGTGCTAGTGCAGCAAACACTTTTTACCCACTGAGCCATCTCCCCAGCCCCTTATTTTCTTTTATAGAGCATGTTAGCAAAAATGGGCAATCTGTGGTTAGCCTGTACTTTGAGGTACTAAAGGTCAAGTTTTGCATGCACATAACAGTAGTAACAGGTTTTTACATTGTTACTTTGCCTGATTCTAGTGGAGAACCTGAAATTGGTGTGATCAGAGTGTCACAGTTTTTAGTACATTCACAGAAGAGTGTTCTGAGTCTCTGTGGCTTTAGAAATGCTAATATTGTGCATTTCTTCTGATAACAGGGAATAGAGGCTCAAAAGTATAATCTCCTTTAACCCATCACCTCTAACACATGGATAGAGTAATGGTTTCTACCTACATAGTAGTTAAGACACTTAAGAGCACATGATAAACTGAGGATTAGATATTACTTTGAAATTTTCTGAGTTGTGAGATGGAGGGAGTAATTGTTGGCTACAGCTGCTCTAATGCCTCCTTTATTATAATTTTCCAGGTTTTATCTTGGCTTTTTGAATAATTGTATAAAGACAGTCCTGGTGACCAGTGCCTTTAATCTTAGCACTCTGAAGGCAAAGCAGGTGGATCTCTGACTTCAAGGCCAGCCTGGTCTATATAACAAGTTCCAGGCCAGCTGGGACTACAGGGAAACCCTATCTCAAAAAATCCAGCTAAAACAAAATATAAAAAAAGATTTCAATTGAATAATTGCGCAGTAACAGGCTGGGCATGGTAGTGTACGCCTTTAATCCCAGCAGAGGCAAGTGGATCTCTCTGATTTCTACATAGTGAGTTCCAGGCCTGCTGGGGCTACAGGGAGATCCTGTCTCAAAAAGACCAAAAAAATAAAAAAATTAAAATGTACAATAACTACTGGTGCCTGGGTCTCTTTTGTGTAGGAAAGTTTATAGTCTACAGATGAAAGATAGTAATTTACATTCTTTATATTTGCCTTTGTCTATTTAAATACTAATTATCATGATGTAATGGCAATTATAAAAGTCCCCCATTTCCTTAGTGCTAAATTAAAGAAGATAAACCAAAAGTCTTTCCAGCATTACAATTCTGCCTTCTCTAAGGGGCTGTTTAGTAGAGGAAATGAGTAAGGAGCTCTTCTTAAAGCTTGGAAACCTCCATATCATTAGTGCTAATTTTGAACCCCAGGGATTTTATTCCTATGTCTTGTCTTTCTGAACATTCCTTAAAGGTCTTGAAAAAAAAGACAGGAGGTAGGCCTGGTGTCAAGGTGTCTTATGTCAGAAGAACAGGCATCAGGTGTCAGTCTGGGCCTATTAAGAGTCTGTGGTTATAGGTCTGGGACTAAGGCCACTAAGTCAAGACCTAGAGCACCTCATGTGTTTTCATTACATGTCTGTGTCTTTTGCTTCCTTTCTTTGTAGGGCACCGTGGTTTTTGTGGAAAGAACTTGGGCTTTGGAGCCAGACAGAACTGGTTTAGAATGCCACTCGTGTATTCAGCAGTTATGTGGCTTCTGGTAACTGACCTGACCACCCCTCACTTGAGTTTCCTCTTGTGAAGAAAAAGGTGATATTGGACAGAATGAAGCACTGGAAACGTGGTGGTCTTCAGACTTTTTTTTTGTCTTTTTGAGACAGGGTCTCCCTGTAGCTCTAGCTGGCCTGGCACTCACTTTGTCAGCCGGGTTGGCCTTGAACTCAGAGATTCACCTGCCTCTGCCAGTGCCGGGATTAAAGGCGTGCACCCCCATGCCCGCCATGCCTTCAGACCTTTTTGAAAGGACAGAACGTAGTGTAGATACTCAATCTATATCCTCAGAACCAAGCATCACAGTAACCATGTTTACTTCTTTGAGTTGAAGATATATCCTAATAACTATTTCAGATACCTTTAAATTGACACCTTTTTGGTTTCATATTTATATGACTTTTTCTTTAGGCTGCCTACTTGTAAGTTATTATTTGATGGAAGACTTGCCCTTACCTGTGGGGTATGTGTGTGTATGGATGAGTGGGTGGGTGGGTGGATGGATAGAGTGGAGAGAGAGAAAGAGCGAGATCCCTTTGAATCCCAGTCTTTATAATTGTGTGATGTGACTGGGTTGTAAATACACATTTCACAGGCATCACCAAGGTAGGGAATCTCTGGTTTATGGTAAGACATGATACATCAGAGGAACTCTGCATCTTGATTGAAGGATCTGTCTAATGCTGTATGAGAGCTGTGTGATCTCCACACCCAGATGAATTATGTGTAGTGGACAGTGGCAAGAAAAGCTGAAAAAAGGAACTCTGTTGCTGGATAGATATTCAAACTGCAGACTGAGTACAAAGCAGTATTTCCAGATCCAAACTAAAAACACGAAAATATATTAGAGTTTGAGGGTCCACAAGATGACTCAGCAGGTAAAGGTACTTGTCACCAAGCCTGATAACCTAAGTTCAATCCTTGGGACCCATTTGATGGAAGGAGAAAACTGACCCCAGAAGTTGTCCTCTGACTTAACATTGGTGTGTGCATATACACATACACAGAATCAGTCAGTCATTCCCTCTCTCTCTCAATAAATGCAAAAATAATTTTAAAGTATTAGAATTTGAAAATACAACTAGATTTAGATACTTTTATGCTCTTACAGTCATGAATATGCATTTTATAGCATATTAATAAATTGATTATGCCAACAAGGAAGGTAAAGAAAAGTAAGTTTTAGGATGGGAGAAATGGCTCAGTGGTTAAGAGCACATACTGCTCCTACAAGGCCCTGAGCTCAATTCCCAGCACCCATATCAGGTGACTGATAACCACTTGTAACTCCAGCTCCTGGGGGATCAGACACCTCTGGTCTCTTCAATAAAAATAATTTTTTTTAAGGTAAGTAGGTTAAAGTATATGTTGGAATTGATCAGGGAAAATGTTAACAATGTTATGGGGTATTTTTGGTCTTTTTTTTTTTTTTTGAGACAGTCTCCCTGTAGCTCCAGGAAATTATGTTTTTATGGTAGGAATTTTCCCTCAAGTTACATTTTAGAGGAAAATTCTCAAGAAAGATGTTAAAAATTTCTAAAATTATCCTATTTTGTAGAATTATTTTCTTTTTTTAAAATTTTTTTTTAATGTGTATGAGTGTATTGCTGGCATGTACATAAGTGAACCTGTGTCGTGCAGTGCCCAAGGAGGTTAGAAGAGGATGTCAGACCCCCTGGAACTGGAATTAGGATGGTTGTTAGCCACCATGTAGGTGCTGGGAATCAAACCCAGGTCCTCTGCAAGAGCAACCAGTGCTCTTAACTGCTGAACCATCTCTCCAGGCCTGAGAATTATTTTCTATAGCTCATTCATCCAGGTTTGATTTTAGGACCATTAAAGGTTAACACTTGGCTATTATGATTATATGTTTTAATATTTTATTATAGGAAACAAAAAGCACATATAAGGTAGAAGCTAGTACAGACCACAGCATGCATATCATCTGGCCTAACAGTTACTGATTCTTGATCCATTTTGTTTCAGTTACTCAAGCTTTTCTTCCCTCACTCATACTGAATTATTTTGAAGTTTCAGACATTTATATCATTTCATAATTCCTAAGTATATCTAAAAGATGAAGATGTTTGGAAAATATAACTATCATTTATTATCCTACCAGAATGACTAATTGCTTAGTATCATCAGGCATCCAGTAATTCATACCTCAGTATATAATCTTTTTCTGGCATTTAAATATAAAGATCTGTTTGTGGACCGACACAGAAGGACTTGTTTAATGAGGCTCTTGGCATTATTCACCACCTCACAATTGCTAGTGTCTTAGGACAATGAATTGTTTAGACTGAGGCAGTTCACTAGTGAGCATTAGTATCCTTTGGTTGTTATTAAGAGATAATTACCTTTACTCTGCTCCTTAAGAGTTTGTTGAAATTTTATATAGATATTGGTAATTTAAAATTTTTAAACTTTGGGCTGGAGAGGTGGCTCAGAGGTTGATAGCACTGGCTGTTCTTGCAGAAGACCTGGGTTTGAGTGCCAGTACCCACATAGTGACTAACAATTGTCTGTAACTGAAGTTCCAGGGGATCTGACAAACCTCTTCTGTCCTCTGGGCATTACATGACATGGGTGCACTTACATACATGCAGGCCATACACACAAACACATAAAAATAATAAGAAAAAAAATAGTTTTAAATATTTTATTGGTTTTTTTTGCTGTTGTTGCTGGTTTTGGTCTTTTTGAGACAGGGTCTCCCTATAGCCCCAGCTGCCCTGAAACACATTATGTAGACCAAGCTAGCCTTGAACTCAAAGAGATCTGCCTGCAGGGGCTAGAAAGATGGCTCAGTGGTTAAGAACACTAGCTGTTCTTGCAGAAGACCTGGGTTCAATTCCCAGCACCCACATGGCAGCTAACAACTGTCCGTAACTCCAGTTCTAGGGGATCCGACAGCCTCTTCTGTTGTCCGAGGGCATTGCAC